GTAGGAGTGGGAAGAGAGGTCATCCATATTCGTATTCTTCAAAAATATTCCCCAGCCGACAGGATGTTCCTGTTAGTCACAGCTCTATTTGAAACGGCTTCGTGTGGCTTCGTCCTCAGATCTTTGTCTGACTGATTGGGCCAAAGTCTTCTTGGTATTCACAAATCCATCACGTTTCACGTAAGTGCCTCTTCGGCTCTCCCTAGGATCAGCTAGAAGAAGTCGTTTCATTTTCACCTTTTTTGGTGCCTCTGGCTGCAGTCAAAGGAAGATAAGGGAGGGAGAAATGCGGTCGACTTTTAAATAAGTGCTGGTTTTAGATAGATGGCGTGTCCCGTTTGTATTACTTTACCAGAACTCAGCACTTTTCTTCTGTTCTATCCCTTTCATTCGTAAACAGAGGGCTCCCTGCTCCTTTATACCCTCCCAAACTCCTGTCAAATTTTTATCACCCAAGAATAGACTCATAATGCATAGGGTTACGTTACCTTTAGTATCTGCTCCAAGGCACTTTAGTGTCTTAATGCTAAAAAAAAATTTGCGCGCGAAATAAAGAATTATAATGGTGACAGCTGCTCAGCTCATAGCCATTTGGTTACATTTCCTAGGAATCAGTGTCCCCTGAAAGCTCGTAGTGTCATTTTCCCCTCTTTTTTTCTACGATTTTTGATGTTTAAAGAGACCGTGATTGCCGTAGCTTTCATGTTGTATGAGAGCTGTCAACGTTGGCATGTCATTGAATCTGTCGACGTTAGTTGATCGAGGAAAAGTCGCTCCGATATGTTTGTCATCATGACTACGGTAGCAAGCCGTTGATAGACGTCGCGTCGTCTTGTCGCTACCGACAGCGAATGGACCGGTTACACCACTAACAAGCGTCTATAGCGTGTTGACATTGCACGGTGAGCGGATATACCGTAACGTTACGTTCATCGTGACAATCCGTCCCAATAAAGCGTTAAATGTCAAATGTCTGTGCAAATGTTTAATTGTAGCCAAAGGGCATAGGTTCTTTGATAACGTTATGGTTGTGAGGGGGGGGAGAAGGAAATGGAAGCCCTGACAGGAGGTGGATTCGATGATGGCGGAATACAACTCACTGCTCTGTGTCAACTTTTTTGCCACGGGAAATTAATTCTGCCTGTGAATGGGCCCTGTTTCAGCTTCTGCGTATCTGCTCGGCTGGTGCTGCTGGATTAGACGCATGATTCTGGTAAGAATTCTTGGATGTACACACCAAAACGCATCTTATACGCAAAGGCATCAGCGAAAAAGAAGGTTCTATCGACCATAAGATACAAAAAAAGTTGTGGCGCGGCCTCCCGTGGGGAGCAGGTGAGGGGATGGGGGAAGAGGCTGCTTTGCACGCTTCTTAATGGTTCAACTACCTATGCCACGACACTTCTGGTAGCCGTAGCGTACGTAGAACTAGATCAAGGAGGAGGCAAATCGCGTGTGGTCTTTGGGTCGTTTCTTCTGTGGCACTGATTGGGAAGATATGAAAGTCAACCTTTTCCCTAGCAGATTATGTCACGAAAAGTTTCAAAAGATTCTGTGGGTGGGTCGCTGCGTCCGAAGTTAGTACGGTTAAGTAGGTCCGAATCCAGTGGATTATCGTGGAATGTGGGAGTGGGAATCCGTGAATGTATTTCTTTATCCAGTGATCGTGTGTTCTTGCTGAGATGCACGATCGTCTAATCGCCTGCTATCGATTAATGCTGGCTGCTACGATGTGGCGAATGGATCGAAGACGCGATTGGTCGTCTCTAGATGAATGCCAATCGCCGACTCGCGTCAAGAGGATCCCAATATGCACAAGGACCATAGCGTGCATTATCGCGGCGTCTCATCGCGGAAAAATAGGCTTCGACTACGATGACGATTGCCGCTGCTGGAAGACGAGACGGACAAGAGCACTATTTGCGCACAGCATATCGAGTGCGCCGGATTAAATCTCATACAATTCGACAACTTTTGATAACTGCTGGGGACTGAAAAAAATGTTGTCGCGGACTCAAATTTCGTTTCCTTCAAGATTGGCCAACTCGTAGCTAATGCACAGTATGGAAGAACAGACTTGACGGGGGCCACGTATATGCATCTGGAGACATGTTCGCTGTTTTCTCGGCCCTGACAGAGATTAAAGGCAGTTGGCACGATGGTTTCCTACTTAGCCTAAAATGCTAGTAGGGCGCTGTATAGTGGGGAAATGGCGAAAGAACGGAGTGAAACGGTCAAAATCTGCGAAGAAAAAGCCTCCGTTCTCAGTGACTTGTAAATCGATTTCGGACGAGTTTCCCGTACGCATCTTGCCAATCACCGCTACCGAAGATACGGCTGCATATGTGTACCCATATATGCATGCAGCATCACGGCCGCTTCATACCTTCGCTTCATAATTTGCTTAGCAAATGAATGAATACGAGCGTCAGGAACGGTCGTCCATTTGTGGGCGGGCGGGCGTGGCGGGCGTTTGGGACGTAAAGTTGTGTGGCTGATAGCTGCCTTATAGCAGCACCTTCTTGGGGAAACCGCTAGGCAGCGTCTGCCCGGCTCGCCGGAATTCCATCCTGCCAGGGGAGTACTTCGATCCTAGTCGTCTTGGGGATTTATCGTGCCAACTGCCTTAAAGGACCTGATGGCCAGAATAGAGTAGTCAACAGTTTGTTTTGCTAGTGGCCAGAGTCTGGGGAGAAACAGGAATATGCCTAAGGTGAACGAGTCCACCCAGGAAGGAGCACGAGTTGCTTGTAGATAAAAATGAATTCCAATATAATCTTTTTTGATACTACGTTGCTGAGAAAGCTTGTAGGGTTGAGCATCCCGTCTTGGGATACGCCATGCATTTACATCCACTGGGGATCGTGATGGATTCTTGTTTTTGGTTCAGTCCTCACAAGCGTAAGGGTGACCGACGTGCTGTTTCAGTACCTTGATCTTCCCGTGACGAGGTTTTTACCCACTGAGCGACCTAGGAAGGATGTAAGGCATGGTTAACCTGCACTGCAGCCGAACCGAGGTTTGATTCCTAGACAATGCGCCTGTAACCGGCCCCACTTCTCACTACACCACCTTCTTCACCAACAAGCAAAAATCCTCGTTACACCCCCTGACTCATAGTATTTTCATCTTCCTGTACTGATTGTCAAGTTACAAAAAATGCCTAAAAATGGAGTTCATTAACAGATGACTCCTCAACAGGACGGTATAGTTCATTTGGGTTAGGACAGGTTCTAACTTGTGGGCTAATGGTCTGTCGTAGTGTCTAAGACTATATCGAGGAAAATTTCGAATGTATTGAAGGACAAGCCAGCGGCCAAATCAACCCGAAAACCAAAGGATGTGAAGGACACCCCAGAATCAGAGCCCAATCATCGAGGTCCAAACTCAAAGCAATTGACTTGGTTAAGAGCATGTCGCAAAGGCGACCTAGCCGAATGCAAGAAGCTTTTGGAGACAGATGTGAGTGGCTTATGGGTGCGAAAATAGTGATCCAATAATAAGATAGTTGTTTCAGCCAGATCTCTTACATTATGTGCCACCGCATCATCTAAACTACTCGTCTGTACATATAGCAACACTTGGACGACACTATGAGCTGTTGAGATTTTTCAAAAGTAAGAACGCTAACTTCAACGCAACAACTAGAGTGAGTTGAAAATAATTTTCAGTTTCAAGTTGTGCCCTAGGCACTTATTACTCGGGGTAGGTTAGGAGATCCGCGCTGCGGCAACAGGGCGAAGAGGGCATTGCAAACGACGTCACGTGCGCGGTATTCGCACCACGAACGCATTGGCTTGATAGAGAAGTCTTACGGAATGTCAGGTCCTTCAGCTAGGAAATACTAGTTACTATAATACTTCGTATTCTTTGCCACAACATGGATCTTCTGGTCACTTCGGACCCCTTTTGACCAGTTGCATACGCGTTGAACAGGATGTCTGGAGGGTACATAGGGGTGAAGAAAAATCGCAAGAGGTAAAAGTAATAAAGCGCTGTTATTCAGTTTCCAAACATCGGTTCCTAGTCTAATAATTCTGCTTCACGCGGCCTGAGTCTCGAGTCGTGTGCGAGATCCTTTCTTACAGAGACGCCCCCAAAATAAAGCCTTTCCTGGTTGGTCAAGTTGCTGTAACTTTTTCACGTTAGGTCAGTTCGGTTCTGGTGCGAATGGCGCCTGCGACAGCACTTTCCTTTCGTCCCATTCGCCGCCGCCCGGACCTCCCAAACGACACCTATGTCATTACCCTGGTTGGAAACTGTGCTCAACGATAATTATGAACTTGGTTGAGAACTTAATGCATTGCAGACGGGATATACGCCACTTCATTTGGCAGCCCAAAATCAGGATCAAGAAACAGTACGATTGCTGATAAGGGAATTTGGTAAGTACTTACTGGTATTCAGTTCTGACAGAACAGTGACTACATCATTACTAAATACCCGATCACTGAGCTATGGTTCCATTCAGTGGCCCTTTTGAGGGCTCCTCAAAATGGTCGTGATAAGCGGTTGAGGGATCCTGTTCAGTTGTTCCTGAACGGTGAAGGTTTCGAAGGTGGCACTAGACGCGCCTCGTGTTTGACCCAGAAAAACCTTATTTGCGCAGGTCTTAATGAGTGTAGTGCTGCTGGAATGGGAAACAGTGCCCTCGTTGTGGTCCCGAGATTTCTTCTACCAATTTCGAAAACTTCTCTTATTTTCTGTCGAGAATGATGAAGGGAGAAGTAGTAAGTTGGAAATGTTTCGAAAGACGCTAGGTAGGATGGGAAGGGGGGGGAAGGGGATGGTACTAGCATCGCCATTCCATACATCGCGATACTGTGCCCGAAACATGGCTTCTGAAGAATGTAGTGAAAGTACTGCCACAAAGTTGCTGTACACTAGTGGTATCTTTTCAGTTCTTGCGGCGGTGTGGAGGGCTCAAAAACCTTTTTTTCTTACCCTGTCCAACGCAGTTCGTTTTTTACATCGCAGGGAAATGATTGAGTAACGTGAGATTGGATTTACGAATGTGCGGTGAGAGGTTCATTAACAAAAAAAGAAAGAAAAGATGAGACAGACATCTGTCACGAGAGAAAAGATGAGAGCAAACGCAAGAAAAAAAAAGACTAAGGGCTCAGAAACTAGGGAATGGGGAACTTCCAGGACGCTCACAACGGGATGACGGGCTTTCAGAGCACTTATCGAGTTACGCACAGAATGTGGCTGAGCAAAATCACTGTTCAGCTGTAGCCTTACAATGCCAGCGGTCTTGGTGATGAAACCGGATTCGGCTCCTGTCCAAGTCAATCGAGCCTTCTTTTTCTCCGGGACTCGCTGAGTAGTACAGCACTCTTCTGGGAGGATAAAATCAGTAAATTGTACAGCGGCTGGCTCTCACAGTTATTATATGGGCCAGATTGCATTCAGTAAGCCATTTTGGTTCCAATAATTTATATTTGTGCCGCATCCCAAAAAAGATTGGTCAGCGGCGCTACCTCATGTTGCTCACGTATATGAAATAAATAACGACTGACTACTCTTCTAAGTAAAAGTAAAGTTGGCGCATCCCAGAAGGACCTATCGACTGTGCATGTTGCCCTTTGGTCTACCGCATCCATCTGGCTTTGTCGCTTTTGTTTCCGTGAACTTATTCCTTATGGCGGTATCATATGTTCCAAGTGGTCCCTAAGAGCCGAATAAACCCACACCTGTCCAATTGCAGGTATAGATTACTAAGTCTTCCTGTGATTTGTTTATCTAGGAAGCATCTAGTGCTGAGCCCGAAAAGATAGCGCCAATCTGTG